AAAAGCATTATCCTACCATTAAATAATAATAAAATAATTAACGTACAAAAAATCATTTACTCGCTCAATAATCATTGTATTGTTTTTTGTCGATGAAATCTTGCAATCGGGAATGAAACACTCCCACCTTGCTTAGATGAAGACAAGGGCAGTAATCATAGATATGAGGAAGTGAAAATTATTCTACCGTGATCAACAATCATAAATATGCATCAATCTTCAGTATCATTGATCATAGGTTTCATGAGATGTGCATTCAAGCAAAATTTCATTTTTAATGGTAGAGGGCAAATCAATAATTTTATTTTTAGACTTATTTACCCTTAAATCCTTGAGGATTTGGCAGCTATTTGATGAATTTATAAAACTTTAACATATTTTAAATATTTTTATGGGACCTTAGAGTGATTTTCCCTATATAATACTCTATCCAGATTTGTTTACTGGATTAAATATTTTTTCTCAAAATATCCCTAATTAATATTCCATTTTTCTGGTCAATGACAAGGAGGAAATTTAGTAAATTAATTTTAGGGGCATGGAAAAATGTAACAATAGATCCCTGTAGTTTGATTGTGCCTTGTTTCTATTCTTTATAATTTTATTTCTTTATTCTCAGTCCCTTTAATTTGATCCTTCTTTAATTTTAGTTCCTATAATTTTAATAATGCGCATAAGAACCATGATCTGACACTGTCAAAGATAACTTTGCTAACATGTATTTAACTTTGTTAAGTTGTTTGCTAAGTACTTAATCTTACCTTTGTCTCCCAGATTCTTCTTAAGCCAAATATGAAAGAAAGATTTTTTCTTATTTACCTTTTATTTTTTTATCATACCTTTTCAATTTATTTTCATGTCATCAGCACATTTTTATCATGTTAGCAAAAATGTTAGCAGAGTTACAATGAAATTACTTCTATCAGTGTCATGGTCTTTACATATAGTTTTAAAATTATGGAGACTAATGTTGCATATTAATCAAATAACCGGGACTAGAAGCAACGAAATAAAATTATAGGGAATTAGAACAAAACATAATTAAAATATAGTGACCTACTGTTATATTTTCCGTTAGGAAAATATTACATATATTTTACTCATTAATTGCAAAAATAACTACTATAATGTTTTTAAATCTTAATTTATGAGTTAGGCAATTAGAGGTTCATAAATTTAGAAAGAAATTCCTCTGTAATATTCAAACGATGAAGATAAATCTTTTTCAAATAGCAATGAATGTACCTCAGTTTGGTCGCCAATGTCCTTATAACTTTCTTGGGAGTGTTTGGATTTTAATTGAAAAAAATTGATTAAGAAAAAAATTGATTATTAGAATGTGATGGTGTTTGGATAAAATTTCAAGAATTGATTATGATATTGATTTTTTAAAATGGAACAAATTTTAGCTTATTTCAAATGGAGTTTTGGAAATCAAATGGAGTTTGAAAAAATTGGAGTGTTTGGATAAAATTTTTTAAAAATAATTTTGAACTTAAAATTGATTCTAAAAGGATATCCAAACAGGCTCCTCATAAGTGAGAGATTCTAGGTTTGATCTCGTTTGTAACTCAAGTAGTTAGTGTCTTCTTTTTAATTTAAAAAAATGTGTCAAAGAGGAGATTCCATTAACATAAAATCAGTCTGTAATACAATCAAGCAAATAAAATGAAAAAAAAATATTAACAGTTATAAAAAGGAAACAAAATAGACGAAATTATTTTTAAAAAAGGTTAAATACCTCCACTTACTCACCTGGTGATGAATTGTTCAAACAATCAACTAAAGTTTTATTGTCAGATTCAAAACAAACCTCATCACGATGATTATTTATAGCATATTCCATCCACAGCTATAAAATCCCGCTTCCAGAACAGAGTTAACCACATAGTTCTGCTTGCAACCATCCAGAATCCAACCACTTTAAGCGCAGAAGATAATTGGTAAAAATTTAGTGTTAGTTTTTGCTTTATATATATGTAAATCGTTCAATTATTAATCAACATTCTTTTTATGCTTTTTTTTTTTTACCAATTCGTTTTATGTTTTCACTTATTACACGCGGTTAGTATTAATTTATTTCTCATGTGCACAGGCGGGACTCCATATATAAAAGAAGACAAATTAAACTAATAACTTTTGATGAAAATAAAATAACAATTTCAACAGTATGAAAAAAAATTCCGTGAAATATAAAAACATGTATATATAAAATAAAATGTATAGAAACTCATATTATTTACAATAAGTTAAGTCAATTATTAATTTTCTTAATTTTTTTTCATGTAATACTTCTGTCAATTATGGAGGGAAAAAATAAGCACAACCGTTGTCCTATAGGAGTACAAGAATATTTATTCAATTCTAAAGAGTGCGGTAGTAACACTGTTAAAATATGCTGATACAAATAACAAAATATTTATGGTATTATGTAATTAATGAAAACAAGTGCAACCACTTTGGTAAAAAAAAAAAAATAGACTCATAATTTTTTCAAAAAAAATAAAAGAACTAAACGTAACATAATGGTCTAAATTGATAAAAATTAAATTGAATTAAGGGCTATTTTGATTTCATTTAACAACATATACATGTTAAGTCATCAACATATTTTACATATTAGATTAATTTTAAAATCAACTGTTTTTTAAAACTTAATTAAATTAAGAGACCAAAAAGTTTTATTATCTATAATTATAATATAAGCATGGACGAAGAGCATAATCAACAGAATTCAGGATATACAATCCTTTTGCTATCCGTTTTAATTTCCCTACCAAAATATGAATATAATTCAACATGTTTTGAACTAGAATTAATAATGCAATATATATGATTTGCTGAAAAGTAACACAATACTGACTAACTAGCATCTGTAATTCTTTCATCAAACACTCCGCCAAGTTACCTCATCATCATCAGAACAGTTATAATGCCAAAGCCCTATACTCAGCTTAAGATTTTTATCATTCAATTTGACTGCTTGAACTCACTAATAAAATTCTTACTCTCACTCTCACATACACACTGTATTTATATATGATTATATACACAATTAAATATTAGGGAAAACAAAATCTTTGATTCTTATAGTTTCATTGATTTTTGTTTTTAGCTCCTATAATTTTTTTTCAATATTGTCAATCTCTATATTTTTAAAAAAATTAGGTGACCTTTATTTTTAGCTCCTAAAAAATTAGGCCCTATAGTTTTCTTTTGTTTTTTTTTTTTTGGAAACACTGGAAAAAAAGCCATTGAGATTAAAAGCAAAATTCAATGAAATTATAGGGATCAAAGATTATGTATTTCCCTAAATATTTTATATAAATGCAAAAATACCAAGTATGGCCTATATATGAAACTTCCGTTTTTTCTGTTGGCTTGCATGTCAACGCCACTAATTCTGTTGGTGGATTCCTGTTTCCTTCGTACAGAAATGCACCCGTGAATGGATGGACTCTACCAAAAAAAAAAAAAAATTGTCAATCAAATTTTGACTTTGATTTCTAAAAAAATTATATCTTTGATCTTCAGATTTATACATGGGCCAATTTCTCTACACACATCGTCGTTCACCACCATTATGCAAATCGCTGCCCATGGAAATGGTACGTATCAGATATCTAAATAAGACTTTCAATTTATTGACATTGTCAATCATATATTGGTCATTTCGTTGTCCAAATTAAATTTAAGGTGATGTTTATAACAATATTATAGATTGGTTAGAGTAATGCATACATCATATATTATATATGTAAGTTGAAAAAGAAAATTATTGCCTTCCTTTTCACCATGCAACGTAGGGGTGTTCAGTCTGGACCCGTCTCGATTGGCCCGGTATCATCCCGATCATATCGGGATAAGTCTTGTCTCTGCTCGAAAATAATCGAGACGGGACTTTACAAGACGGGATAGGAAAGGGGTTTGGGACGAGACGAGACACGGGATTACCATCGGGACGTCCCGTCCTGTCCTGAATATTATATATATTATTTTTTATTTTAAATATATTAATTATATTAATATAATTTATACTTATATTAATTATATTAATTATAATTTAATACTTGCAATTCTTATTTAAAGCTAAAGTTTTTTTATATTGATAATTTTAATGGCATGGAGTAAACATGGCGATATCTTTCTTTATAATATATTAATTATATTAATATAATTTATTATTATATATATCTATTTAATAAATTTTATTTATAACGTATTTCTTGCTTTATTTTTATAAGAGTAATTAGCTTAGCATATGTTCACTAAAGTAGAAGAACAATGATTTGATGTTATATTTGAATTGCCTGTTGTTGCTAATCTTATAGCATAAAGATCACTTGTATTTGTTATTATAATATGTAATTGTGATTAATATAATTCAATAATTAATTTTAAATTATTGTTATTTATGTACTTGTGTTATTTTAATTTTAAACTTAATAAATTATATGATTTAAAATTTTAATAAACGTTATTATTTAAATTTTTTTTGATATTATTCTATTTATTGGGACGGCGGGATGTTTTGATTTTGTCCTGGTCTCGTCCCGACTCTTAACGGGACGGGACGGGACATGGGATTAAAATTTAGTCTCGATTTTTTTTTCGGGATGGGACACAGGATGGGAGTGTCCCGATCCCATCCCGTCCCATGAATACCTCTAATGCAATGTGTCAGTTGAGTGTGTCTAAGAAATTCAGTTGATGGTATTATAGGCTCAGGAGAGAAGTCTCTCCATTTTTTTCTCTTCACTTCCTTCATCCCTATTATTCAAATTATTTTATTAAATAATTTTTTTAAATGATAAAATTAATGAACGGTGGTGATAGGGAAGTGGAGGGAAAAAAAGTGGGGAGGCCAATCCCGCGCGAAAGGACGAAGTATCACAGAAACTACCGTTTTCAAGGTCTATTTAATAGTGACTCAAATTGTCTCTCCCACCAAACAATAACCGCATCATAAACTATTTTTTTCTTCTTCGGGATCGAGAGAAATGAGAGTGAGAAAAGCTTACATTCTGGTATTGATTTTATCCATTCTAGTTGTGGATGAATCTTCCCCGTTTCTTCTCCGACCAGCTTCAGCTAATGCCTTGTTCAATATACCATTGTGGTTCAGAATATTCAGAACGCTCAAAAACCTAAATTTTAGCTTCATTTCCAAAGCACTGGATAAATTGAGATCATTCAGGCGCGCCCACAATGGTCGCCTTCGAATAGGAGACGTCGTCGACGGCATATCCAAGCTTTATGACTATTTCAAGTTGTTCGGTTACATTAATTCCACTTTGAATTCAGACAACACCGGTAAATTCTCCGCAGAGCTCGAATCAGCCATTGAATACTTTCAGAAGACTTTCCACCTCAACGTCAACGGCCAGCCCGACGACCCCACCGTGTCGCTGATCACTCTCCCGCGATGCGGCATTCCTGATGTTATAAATAGCTCCTCCACTTTGTTGGGGAATCGCACGACGTCGTTTAAAAAATGGTTGCCGGAGGGAAAGAAAGAGCTCACTTATTCTTTTTCACCAGAAAATGAAACGACGACCTCGTTGAAGGATGTCTTCTCGGATGCCTTCCGCCGTTGGTCAAACGTGGCAAGGATGAACTTTACGCAGACGACGTCTTTCAACGAAGCTGACATTAAAATCATGTTCGCGTCGTTGGATGAAGAGCTAGGAGTGGTTGGCGGTTCGTGGTTGGATGATACGGCGAAGAGCTGGGACGTCGTTTTGGACTCCGATGAGAAGTGGGCGTTGCTGAGCGAGGACACAACGGAGAGCGACGAACTGGACCTGGAGTCGACGGTGATGCACCAGATCGGTCACGTGCTTGGACTGAGCCACTCGGCGATAGAGGAGGCGGTTATGTACCCTTTCGTTCTGCCATCGAAGAAAAGGAAGGTAGATTTTGCACAAGATGATTTGGAGAGGATTCGGCAACTCTACGGTACAAAATCCGATTCCCCAAAGTTATCGCAGACGCAATCTCCGCCGCCGGGCGGCGGAGGAGTCGGTGGCGTTGGGCCGTGTTGGAGTCTGATTTCCACTTTATTTCTCGGAATTAATTCGCTTTTCTGGTTCTGAAACACGAGTAACCTTGAGTACCATAGTTCTGAGCTGCTGGACCTATCAATAAAGTGCACGTGTACGACATTTACAACTGTCATTATTATCTACCAATAGCATTAATGTATTATGGCTGCTCTTTTTGTTTTGTTTTTCGTTCTAAACATATTACTATGATTAGAGGAAAATTTTCTGATATTGATGGGTGTGTCCTGGGACTGTGAGCCTTTATGGCCAAACTTGGCAATATAAAAGCCTCTTGGGTGTGTGGGTGTCTCATCGTTATATAATGCCTTTATTATTATCATCTATATTCAATACGGCAGTCTCTAGTGAAAAAATGTAAAAGTAGAATTAAAGGAAACCACAGTTAATTAGCATAAAAAAATAAAGAAAACATTTAAGCTGGAGTTGATTCCCTTAAAAATCATATGTCAGGATTACAAGAAAGAAGGGGGAAAAAAACAATTTGTAACCTTGCAAAGATATTAATAACAATTAAAAATCTTAAAATGTTGAAATGTCGGGAAAAAAACCATAATTTTCAAGTTTGTGATCAAGGGAGCGAGCTTCACAAGAACAGGTACACTTGTTCAGGTCCAGACAGTTGTTTGACTGTAATATGTTGGTTGCTGCAAAGAAGTGAAACTGTGAGATAAACAGAGAGAAACGAGCGAGTCTGGGCCTTGTGGGCGTAAGAAGATGTGCCTTTCTGGATGATTTTTAAAACTACATCCTCTTTATTTTATGTTTTTGTTACCTATTGATTTGTTGGCAGATAATAATATTCTTGTTGTTTTTAATTATTGTTCTCATAGGATTAAAAAAGGAATTTGCTTGATATTGCTTTTTTTTTTTGTTTTAGATTGTTGTTTGGTTTCTTTTTTTTGGGTTGTTTGTTTTTTTCTCTTTTCTGTGTGTGAGCTGTGTTATGTTGTATCTAAGATTTTTTTTAGAGTTTTTTAGCTACGGCTATTAATGTTTGTAATTTTTTTGGTCATTAATAAAATTGGTTCTTCTCTAGCTAAAAAAAAAAAAAAGAAAAGAAACTCCAAGTCTCCTACTTTCTTCTTCTTATTGTTTTTTTTTTTGATAATGTAGTCTCCTACATTCTTTGTTAGGATATTGATCTTTTTTTTTTTTTTGGGATATCGAAGTTAATCATTTTTGTCCTGAGTGTCAACTTTCCTTGGCAAGTGCGTTCTTAATTCTTCATCACTTTAACAATTAAGCCCAACATTTCGTTGGCCCAACAAAAAACAAAAACGCCCTTCAACATCACCGTTGCTAATGAAAACACTACAATCTGCGGTTAAAACGTCGTACTTTTTTAAGGCAATTAGGTGGACATGATGATGTTCGTTTTTAAAATTAAATTTCAACTACAACGATAATTAATACTGGACCTCATAATTTATATACTTAAACCGATTTTTTTCACCATTAATAATCCGACCCTTTTATTATGTAAAGCTAAAGGGTACTAGTTACCTGAGCTTTTTATGTTCAGACTTTTTCCCCATGAAAGCTGCCCAAACTATCATTTGCTACCACGAGTTTAGCTTTTTGACTAGTTCTGAAAGCTTATATTTGATAGTCAAGTATTTATGATAAACAAATGTTTAGATCTAAAAAAAATGATTAAAAATACTTAACGATTATTATGATAATATATAATAGTTATTTTCAAGTAACTGTTAAGTATTTATGATATATATATATTTTTGGATAAAGTGAGGGCTACTTGGGGTTGCCTGAACAAATACCAAAAAAAAAAAAAACAACTATATGTATTAGTTAGCCAATAACAAAAGATAAATGAATTATTTTTTATATTAAAATTACTATATCCTAAACTTGAAATCATACATTTTTTTTGCTAGTTTGCAACTAAAATAAACAAGAATGACACCTGGGGCCTCCCGTGCCCCGGAAGGGGGGGGGGGGGAGTAACGAAGGCCCAATACAATTAAACGTTCATCTATTCATAATTCAGTTTTATTTTGATATATTGGGTCCTCACTTGGGTCTTTAAGCGTTAGTCTCCTTAAAAATTATTACAAAATCATTTATACAGGACTTCACTACCTAATAAACAAATTATATATACCTACTTCTAAAGCCCAATCAATTTTTTCTTTCAAACAATTATATTCCCAAGTAAATTTTTCACCCACATACCTGACTTTTTGCATTTGGGATCTAAATATACGATCTACAAAATGCTTCATAGAAGTAAAATTTGGTTGGTGCTTCCAGTTTTATCCTCCACATAAATATAAGCATTACAATCACCCAAGATCCTCCCAGCTTCATGAGTTCTTTTACTAATATTTGATCAGATCATCTCAAAGATTCTTACAACTAGAGATATTCGTCTCCACATAAATACAAAAAACCCAAAAAACATAATGATTTTTATTATTCATCACACGCACATGTAGAAGCTGGGTTGTAGAAAAATCTTATTGAACGTGGAAAATGTCTTGATTCCACAATAGCCAGATCCCTATAGCATAACCTGTAGTCTCAACTCTAATCCAACTATTAAACCCCAATTTTGAAATTATTTTATCACCCTTCCTCCCACTAAACAAAATCAGCCTCTCTCACTGAAATCACATCACCCATCCAAGAACTTTTTTGAGGCGGTTCCTCTACAATTCCAAGATAAAAAAAATCATAAAGATAAATATCATACAAGAGAACCAAAGATACACACTCACAAAGGAGTTTCCTCTCGTCTTCCATCTCTCCCATGTGCACCTCATCCTAAGTCTTGAACCATAGGTGATTATTTTTGACGGGTCTGGTGGTTTCTTCGATGATTCTACAGTCATCACGAAGATCCAAATTCAATTTTACTCTATACTGCCATCCCTTCCTCGCACCCTTTCTTTTCTTCATTAACTCCTCCATTCTTCAGGTGGGGCTTATCTTGGTCCATATTCGAGACACCCCCCATAACCGAGGTGTGGGTGCTACTTTGAGTCTTACTGTCAGCAAGGGAGATACTTACTTGGCCTTGTATTTTGGTTTTTTTTCCCCTCTCTTTTTTGGGCTATCTTTTCGATTTGTTTCTTCCATTGGGTTTAAATCCTCTTCCGCAATAATAGCAGTCTCCTGGTCCATCTCCGTCTGGACCTTTTCCATTTGGGCCATTACCTCTTCTTGCTTTTCCACATTTTTCTGTCTCTCCTCTTTCCCAGTTTGACTCCACTTGTTTCACGTTTTTCATAACTGGTTCTTTTGCTAGCATCCTCTAACATGACAGGTATATCGTTCTTATTCTCAGCTTCCCCTTTGTCTTCTTCCACCTGCCATCCTCTAACGTTTTTTTTTTTTTTTTTTTAACAGGTCCCTTCATGGTGAATGAACTCTTCTTTTCTCCCTGTTCTTTAGCCCCTTTTTCTTCTGACGAAAATATCAAACCTTGATTTATGGGACATGTTCTAATTCTTACCATTTGACTTCCCTGACATAGAAGGCGTGGACTGTTGGTTAAACCTTTGGTCACAAGTACCGATTTTTGCCTGAATGTATATTTGGCTAGCATCCACTCACCAAGCTTTTCTTCCAATGACACTCCTAGCTTACTCATCATCGACTGAGCTACATTCATTTCTTCCTCCGACCGTTGGGTTTTCTCCTCCAAAGTTGGTGCCGGAGCTGCACCATTTTTTGTTTTTTAAGAACAGGCAGTCATCCCTTCTATGACCATAGTTCCCAAAACTAAAACAAATAATCTCCAAACCTTCATCCTCCACAATATACACTCGAATCCTTACAACAAACCTCGATTGAAGCCTTTTACTTAGATCAACTTCAACACTAACTCCGTCGTACCTACCCAATTTTGCTGTGATTCCTCTATTATTACATCGAGTGACACTAGTACAAAAAAGCTTTTTACATTAATTAAAAATCACATTTTATATTAGTTCAAGAGGCAGTGTTATTTCAGGGATTGCAAAAAATCCTTGAATTTTTACATTAGTTGTTTTCCACATTGGTTATAGATAAAACTATTGTAAAAAGTCTAGTTTTTACATGTATTATAGCTAAAACTAATGTAGACTTTCTACATTGATTCTAAATAGAATAATTGTAGAAAGCCTACTTTCTATATCAATTTTAGCTAAAATTGATGCAGAAAGTGAACTTTCTACAATTGTTGTAACTAGAACCGTTGTAGAAAGCGAACTTTCTACATCAATTTTAGCTAAAACACATGTAAAAAATAGTATTTTTTTAAAGAAAAAAATAGGGGTGTTTTTATGTGTTGTAGAATTTACAACCCAAAAAAACACTCATAAAATAAATAGAAAAAATTAGAATAAATAAAATTCAATGGCCATAAAATAAAAAAAATATTTAATTTATTTAAATATAGAACAATTCGTGTTAACTTTCATTTATTAAAATCATAACAAAATAATTGGAATTATAATTAAACAACTAAACAAAATTTGTCATAAAATTCCTCATAAAAATAGAGTTGATGTTCTTCCATATTTGAGTTGCTCTTTGCACCACTACAAAGCACATAATCACCAATATTTGTGTTGTCTCTCAGTTCTATCCCCAATACCATGTACTGCATAAACCAAGTTTATAATTCATTAGTCAATCATCAAAACAAAGTTTCAAGGTAAAAAGCACATACACAAGTTAAGTAAGAATAGCATACCTAATTGATAACAATAACCTAGTGAAATTCCTTCAATCAAGATTCACAAACAAGAATTTATTTAGCTGGTCTGAAACTGACAAGACAACTCCAAGGTATCAAAAGCATTCAATCTTCCAAGACAATCCCTATATATCCTTTACGTTCTCCATTTTCCTCTAAGACCAAAAATACAAAGAAGTTTTTTTTCCCCAAACTCGTTATTCACATGGATATGTGATAGATAACAAGAGAAAAGGAAAATATTTTCCTTTCCAAATGTGAAATTTTTTATTAAAAATTTGATTATTTTATTTCTATTTTTTATACCAAAATTGTAGAAGTTCAAATCT